TCTACTGTATATTTATAAGCATGCAAACACACACACACGACACGGCACGGGGGACGGAAATTGGGGTTGTGGGGGTGAAATCGGGTCTGGGGGACGCGCTTGGTTTGCGTGGGCCGGCCCTGAGGCCTAGGCGCTGCTGCGTGGCGCGCAGGGCGTACGCTGTCGCCAGCGAGATGAACGCACTGTGCGTGTACTTTTTTTTTGGGGGTCGGGCGGAGGTTTCCACGTTTTCCTTTTCTTCCTTTTTTCTTCCTTTTTCCTCTTGTCTGTTTGCCTTCCGCCGCTCCCTGCCTGCCGTGCAGCCGCGCTCCGAGTGTGTTATGCCGTCGAGCCCCAGCGGGGAGAAGCCGTCGGCCGCGGCGGTGAAGCGCGCGCGCAGTCGCTCCCCGCCCGCGACGCCGCCGGAGAAACGCGCCCGGCGCTCCACGCGCAGCCGGACACCGACGCCGCCCTCCCGTTCGCTGACGTCGCCGCCTCCGCCGACCGATGACGCCGCCGCCGCCCTCGCGACTGCCCCACCGCCTCCGGGCGCCGCAGCGCCGCGGACGGAGCAGAGCATTTGGAGCCAAGTGGAGCCGTTTCAGCGCCGCACGGCGCCGCAGGACTTCGACGGGGCGCAGATGCTGAAGTTCATCACGTGGAACGTCGCCGGCCTGCGTGGGCTGCTGCGGAAGGACGCCCAGGCCATTCGGCGCCTGCTCGAGGCGGAGCAGCCAGACGCGTTGTGCCTGCAGGAGACGAAGCTGAACCCGGAGGACCCGCAGAACGCCAAGCTGGGCGAGGTGGCCGGGTACCGCTTCGTCGACCACGCCTGTCGCGCCAAGAAGGGCTACGCAGGCACCCGCACTTACGTCAAGGACGCGGCGGCCGCGGAGTGGAGGACGGTCAGCGTGAAGGGGTTCGCCACCCTGAGCACCCCGCGCAACGTCGGCCACAGCGACGGCGACGATGAGGGACGCGTGCTCACGACGTACTTTGGCACGCACGGCAAGGGCGGCTGCGCGTTTGCGCTGGCGCTGGTAAACACGTACATCCCCAACAGCGGCATGGCGCTGGAGCGCCTTCCGTACCGCTGCCAGACGTTTGATGTGAAGATGCGCCAGCACCTCTGCGGCTTGGGCCGCTCCTGCAAACCCGCCGCTCCGGCGGACGGCGCCCCGCCACTTGCAGGGTTCATTTGGGCCGGCGACCTTAATGTCGCCGAGCGCGACTACGACCGCTACTACGCCGGCACCTTCCAAACAATGCAGAAATGCAGCGGTTTCACTCCCGAGGAGCGAGCCTCGTTCCGACAGACGCTGCGGGTGGCGAATGCGGTGGACACCTTCCGCGCCCTCTACCCGCGGGCGGCGCCGGTGTACACCTTCTGGTCCGCGCGCATCAACGGCCGGGCCCGCGGGCTTGGCTGGCGGCTGGACTACTTCGTCGTCTCCGCCGCGCTGGCGCAGCGCGTCGTGGACTGCTTCACGATGCCGCAGGTGATGGGGAGCGACCATTGCCCGGTGCAGATGTGGCTGCGGCGGTGACGGGGACACACACACACGCGCGGGCCTGCGGGCGCAGCGAAGCAGCGGTTGCGTGGGCGGTGTGGAAGCCGCAGGGCACACACACAGCAAAACGGCAAAAAAGGCAGAGCATGAGTGCAGCTCAGCTGCAAAGGTAAGCGAAGAGGAAGAGGAGGCGGAGGAGCAGGATGGTGAGAGAAAAGACAACAACAAAGAAAAAAAAATCAAAAAGAGGGGAGAGGAAAAGAAAGAGAGGAAAAATCGCATCTACCTCGGCGTGTTGACTTTTTTTCTTCTTCGTCTGGGGATGAGGGCGCTCGCTGGCGGCCCCCGCGGGGGATGACTGATATCTCTTGCTGTCTCCCTCTCTCTCTCTCTCTTTCTTCTGCCTGACGCGCGCCTCGCACCCCTTCGACGATGCCTTGCGTTCCGTGCGTCGCGCGACTGCCTTCCCGCCTCCGTGCCGGCAGCGGTGACAAGCACTTTTCTCCCCCCTCCCTCTTCCTCCGGCAGCGACAGGCGACGAAGCACGCGGACGGCCCGGAGACTCCGCCACAAACACACAGCCAGTGAGTCGGAGCGAGCGTGAGAGAGAAGCGAAACGGGGGAGATGCTTGCCGTTGCAAAGGCCCGATTCTCTGCCGTCGTCGCCTCCCCGCTGCTCCGGGTAGCGCCGCGGTTAAGCGGCGCGGCGAGGAAAAGTAATAAGGCAAAACCCGCGGGGTTGGCAGAGGTCGGGGCGGCGGCAGCGGCGGCGGCTTCGCCACAGTCGCACTCGGCCGTCTTTGTCACAATGAAGGAGACGCTGGACAACACGTTGGGGGTCTCTGCGGCGTGTGCGGCCGTGGCGCCGGAGGCAGAGAGCGGCGCACGTGACGGCGAGGCGGTGACCGCCGCGGCGGCCGACGTTGCCGCGGGGGGTAAGGTGCCTCCCTACTACAAGCCGATGAACCTCCACCACACGCTGTATGAGGGGGAGGTGGCGCGGCGGCTGTGCGACGCGGCCGCGGCCCGGCAGTTTCGCTCCCCTGTCTGGGCCACCGCGGCGGCCCTCGCGCGCTGCGGCAGCGCCGTGCGGGAGGGTGAGGCGGGGGTGGAGGTCGCCACGACGGTGCAACGCGTCTCGCTGTACAACCTCGAGCAGACCGGCGCCCCGGACGGGGTCGTCTCCGCTGCCCTCAGGCACGGCGAGGAAGGGTGGCCGGAGTGGCCTGACACGCCGCTCAGCGCCGCAGGACGCCCGCACTCGCGGCACGTGCAACGCACGCTGAAGGCGCACCCCTCCTACGCGCACTACACGCTGCCTCACTGGGTCACCGAGGAGGAGGCAGTTATTCTCGGCACGGCTGTGCCGCCCTCCCAGAAGGGGTGTGGGATTCTCATCACACGACGGCCGCAGGCAACCCCACCGCCGGCCGCGGAGGCGGAGAAGTCTCTGCAAGCGGCGCAGCAGTCTCCGGCGAGTCCCGAGATGGACTTCTACATGCTTTACAATGCCGCGCAGCTGGAGGATCCAGCCAAGGTGACACGGGAGACATGTCCCCCCGCCTTCTTTTGTAGCGCGAGTGGTCGGCGGTACGGGATCCCTCTCAGCCTGCACATGCGACGGTACTGCCAAACGTACAACCTAGGCATGCTACCAATGGTCGTCTTCCTAACGGCCTCGCGGCTCCACCGTCTTGGGGGCGAGCTGCGCCCGATGGAGGACGAAGTCCCGCCCTTCACAAGTGTCATCAATGACGAGGTCGTCTCCCTTCATCACGCGGAAACCACCACCATACACAAGGAGCTGCTGCGACGGGCCGAAACGCTTCGGCGAGAAGAATTAGATCGGATCACGGCAGTGACGGTATAGAAGACACCGGGTTGATGGAGCAGGGCGGAAACAGAGCGCCGTCAACGTTCCACTTTTCCTCACAGACAAATGAGCATTCGAGAGTGGGCGAGAGCCATATAAACATATATATGGGTAACGAGTTGCCATTCCTGCATGGCTTCACGTGCGAGAGGAGGCAAAGGGCTTGCCCGCCATTCAGTGGGCTTCGCATCGTGCTCCGCACGCTTGCCGTTGGAGGTCACTTGGTGCCAGCGGGGGCGTGCGTAGTTTACACCCCCGCTGGCGCCACGCAGAACTGAGTCTAAGGGGGAGGGGGGGGGGGATAGATAGCCGTACAAAGTTTTCTTCCTCTTTTTGGGAAGTGCCGCTGCGTGGCTGAGGTGCCACCGTATCACCACTCGCCCTCACAGTTTGTTTGCGGGGATGCGGCGCCGATGGCCGCTGAGGTCGTCTGTCCCCCTCCCTCCACTGCGCAGCGGCGGGCGGGGAGTGCCGTGCTGCGTTCCCATTGGCTTTTAACTATTTATTGATTTTGTTTTCATTTTTGTTTTTGATTTTCAGACAATACTGGCGTGTGTGTGGGGTGGGTGGGGGAGGAAAGAGCTTTAAAAAAAAAAGAGAAGGAGCGACGCGTACGCGCTGCTGCGGGCGGCCGAGAGGTGCCTGCGCTCCTCACGGTGCGGTTGCTGCCGTCCCTGGACTCCTGCGCCGCTGCCTCTCCCTCTCCCTCCGTGTGCGTGTGGTTAGAGCCGGTGACTGCGACGCCTCACAGGTCGCGCAAAGTCAAGAAGAGCGAGCGAGCGGGCTGCAAGGAGGCAGGCGGGTGAAGCCCACGACCCCTCCACAGGAGCGAAGTAAAAAACAAACAAAAACAACAACAGCAAAGACGAATTCGAGGAGGTGTCTGTGCATCAATGCGCCTGGGGGCGCGTGTGTGCGGCGTCGCGGCGTCTTCGTCGCTTCCGTCACGCGTGACGGTGCCGTGCTGCGGTGCGCTCGGGCACCGCTGCTACGCAACAACACACGCCTCCCCGACCACGGCCGCGGCGGAGAACGGGCATGCACCGATGCCGTACAAATCTACCCACAAGGGCGGCGGCAAGGCGGCGCTACCGGCACGGCAACGCGGTGGCGACAAGCAGGCGGCGGCTGCTGCGGCTGGGGCTCACGGCGAGGCAACTAGCGGCGAGGCGCCGCTGCGGCAGAAGAATATCGCAGGGTCATTTTCGTCGTGTGCGGAGGACGGCGGGGCGGTGTCCAGCCGGCCGCTCTCCCCGCTGCAGCGGCGGCAGCTGCTCTTTAAACACAAGGCAGCCTTTACACTCACCCCGCAGGCCCTCCGTCGGGTCAAGTACCTGCTGAAGCAGCCGCACGAGGGCCAAGAACAGCGGCAGCAGACCCCCGATGGGATTCGCATCGGTGTGCGGCGGCGTGGCTGCAGCGGGTATAGCTACACAGTCAACTACCACTACCCGGAGGCGGCGCCGACGCCGGCGAGGCCCTCCGACCCGCAGGGGAGCAGCACTGCGGGGGACGGGGCGCAGCGGGGGGATGTGGTGGTGGAGCAGGACGGCGTGAAGGTGGTGGTCGACGCCAACGCCCTCTTCTACGTCATCGGGACGGAGATGGACTACGTCGTGCGGAACGTGGAGGAGAAGTTTACCTTCCGCAACCCGAACCAGAAGTACTCGTGCGGCTGCGAGGAGAGTTTCATGCCGTTTGACATTGCTGAGCAGGAAACCAGCTAAGAAAGAAAACAAGACTATAAAAAAAAAGGAGGGGGTGGGGAAAAAATAATAATAAACAGAGTGTGTGTGTTGAAAAAAAGAAAAAAAACAAAGACGAAACGCCAAACCAAAAGGGCTCGTTGCGTGGATCTCACTCGCATTCGCCCTTTCCCTTCGTTGCTCGAATGCGGAAGGAGGGAAGCCTCATCCAAGGCACAACCGCACTGCAGTGTCTAAGCGAGGAGTCAGTAACTACGCCGCGACGCCTGTGCGTGGCTTAAGGCTGGCAGCGCACCGGGAGGTGTCAACCTCCGCCGCGCGTGTTGCGTGTTGCTGCGCGTCGTCGTCGTCAGCCACGCGGTGTGTGTACGTGTGTGCGCGTATGTGTGCGTGTGTGCGGCGGCAGCTGCATTGCCTCACCTCCCACCGTACGCCCACGGCTGCTGGGACTGTCCATATATCCAATTCCCCCCTCTTCTTTCCCTTGTGTATTGACGCGCACACGCCCCACGGCTGTTGGGAGAAAATAAAATGAAAGAAAAGAGAAGCCCAACAAATTGTTTATACATTTATATTTCTGCGACTTGCGGTCTCGCGTGTTGTCTTTTATTTTGTTTGGTTTTTAGTGTGTGCGTGTGCATAATCTGCATGGCTGGAGCGGCTGGTGGACGGAGGAACTCGTTGCAGCTCCTTTCATACTGCAGCCCCCCACCCCCTCCCCCCCTCCTTTTTTTTTTAATATCCCAATTGTTTCTGCTTCTGTTTCTTTCCTTCTCTTTGCCCGCAGCGGTTGCCTGCGCGAGAGGGCAGGCGACGAGGCAGGAAAGTGTGTGTGTGTGTGTCTCGCTCTCACTCTCTGGGTGCCCGCGTGGGCCCCGGGGCGCTGCCACGGATGGTTTTTTTTGTCCGCGTCGCGGCAAACGTGTGTGACGGCAACCGCAACATTCGCCTGCGGTTCCCCTCGCGCCCGACGCTGCGGGAAGTGGCCGCTGCGGCGGAGTCGTACTTCGCGGCAGCCGCCCTCCATCCCTCGCCGGCCTTCCAGCTGGGCGCGTTGCTCCTCCTTGACGAGCACGCCTTTGCCTGGGTGGAGCTCTACAGCGCGGCGCAGCTGTCCACCGACTGCCAGCTGTACGCCTTTGAGGGGCGCAGGACGCGCCGCCCGACGCCCGCCGGGCCATGGCAGCGGCCCCGCGTGAAACAGCGGGGCGGCCGCGAGATTCTGCCGCCGCCCGCCGCAACCGTGGCGTGCCGTGCCTTACCTCCCGCGGGCAGCTCCCCCCCGTCTGCCCCGCTCGACGACTGGGACGACAGCGCGTGTGGCCCGGCCGACGGGGCGGACACAAGACGCTCGCACGGCTCCCTTCCCGCCGCAGGCCCCGAACGCACGGACGGCGTGGGGACGGCTACGCTGTGGCGCGGCCGCGGCAGGCTCCGCGGCGTCTTTGACGGGCTCGACGCCGAGCGGAAGGGGTACCTGCGTCTCGCGGACCTGCAGCGGGCGGTGGATGCGCAGCGCAGCGTGTTTGTCAACTACTCCGCCCAGACGCTGCTTGCGCTGGCCGACCAAGACGGGGATGGGCGCGTGTCCTACAAGGAGTGGGTGGGCTTTGCCGTCTCGCACCCGGCCGTGGTGGACGCGTTGTCTGCCGCCGGCGCCCTCGACTCGCGGCTGGGCGGGCGGGGGATGATGGGCTGCGAGCACGCGCCACAGCCGAGCCTGACGCCCGCGGAGGCCTGCCGCCTCTCAGCGGAGGCGTACAACCGGTCACGGGCGATACTAACGCGGGAGGAGGCGCGGCTGGCGGCGGACGCGGTGCGGCTAAACTTCCTGCGAGACAAGTGGGAAGAAGAAAAGAAAAGAAAACAAAAAGCAAAAGCAAAAACAAACGGACGGACGCCGCGGCGTAAAAAGTAGAGACGCGAAGGCGAAACGCACCTGATTCAGTCGTGGCGTGGGTGCCCCGTCTTCTTGTACGACATTTTACATCCTTCATCTCAGACACGCAGCCTTCTGCTCTTTTCTCTCCCTCTCTCCCTCTCTCTCCCTGTTTGCGCCTGTCTGGGTGCATACACACGTCTGGGGGCGTTGGACAGAGCGAGGTGGAAACAGCAGCGTCGTTTGGTGGTACAGACATTTGTAGTTTATATGCAGGCATGCGTGGCTGCACTCTTCCTCCTCTCTCGCGGACGCGGCGTATGAGTGGGGGAGGGGGGAAGCTTTGAGCCATTCTCTTTTTCTTTTTTTTTCCCTTACTTTTTACCTTGAAACCGAAAAAAAAAGTAAATAATAACAGAGTTCGCCCTTCACGCACACACACACACACACACAAGCACACGCAATTAAATCTATCGACTTCACTCTACGTGTTTGGTGCGGCGAGGCATGTCCCAAAGGATTTCTTCTCACACGGTGGGGCAGCGGCCTAGACGGCAGTACGTCAGCAAGCTGACGGAGTTCTTCTTCCGCGAGCTCGACAAGGGGCTGGCCTCGCCGTACGTCGTGCTGTCCACCGGGGCCCTCCTGGCCCTCGTGGGGTGGAAGCTGATGCTCTACTACGTCGAGCCCAACCGGCAGCAGGGCGCGGTCTGGCGGCGGCCGCAGTCCCGTGTGCCGCTGAGCGACGCCCACAACGCCTTCTGGGGCCTTAACATCGGCGGGGACGGCTGGAGAGGCCTTCCGGCGGGGCGCCACCTCGCGGAGACGATGACGGAGACCGCGGAGGAGGCGCTGCGGCGGCCCACGCTGGTGCACAGCGAGGACAGCGAGGTGCGCGGCGGCCGCGGGGAGGCCCTCAGCGTGGCGTGCATGGAGCTGTCGGAGTACGACGCGCGGCTGGGGGACGATGTCGTGTACCGCAGCGTGCACTACATCCAGGGCACCACGCGCGCGGCCCCCGCGGCCCTTCCAACAGGAGCTGCAGCGGTGGCGGGGCCGGCGGACGCGGAGGGAAGTCAAAGCGCCCCGGTGACGACGCCCACACCGCCAGCGCAGGAGTCGGCGGTGGCGGAGGAGACGTCATCGTATTTTTCTCGAATGCCCGCACGGGGGGCGTCCATGATTCACGGCATGGTGAAGTGCAGGGCGATTACCTCGTTGAACAACTGTGTGCCTTACGCCGGGCACATGGAGAGCGAGTACGCGCGGAAGCTGATGCTGGCACTGGGGCCGGTGCACATTCTGCGCGACGTTGCACAGACCAACTTTCCGGTGCGCTTTACGGTCGCGAAGGAGGCGCCGGTGTCCACGCTTGTGTGTGGGCTGCACAGCGGCGAGGTTCCACGCTGGCTGAGCACCGCCTTCCCCAACTTTCACGTGGACGTCGTCGAGAGTGACGGCGCCCTCGCCCGTGTCTGCCGTCGGTTTCTGGGCTTTCAGGAGTCGAGTAACCTGCGCCTGTACATCGCCGACCCCGTCGAGTTTATTCGCCGCAGCGCGCTGCCGGAGGTGGGCCGCCGCTACGATCTCATCATGCTGGACGTCGGCGACGGGGCTGGGCGGGTGAGCACGCGGTACGGCCGCCTCGAGTTCATCAGCGCCGTGCGCAATAGTCTCACCGGCGCCGGCTGCGTCGTCGCGGCGCTCCCAAATCGGGACGGGGCGTTTCTCTACAACATGGTGCAGAACTGGCGCATGGCCTTTGCGGGGCGCACGGTGCTCCTCGTGCACTGCGTCACCTCGCCGCAGACGCTGCTCATGACCTTTCAGGATGACGCGGCCCGCGGCAAGGTGAACCTTGGCAGCGTCGCCAACGTGGAGGAGTTCAAGGACCTGCTGCGCACCACACTCGCCCACTACGGCCCGCGGCGTGTGCCGTTCGACCTCACCGGGGAGGTGTCGGAGGAGAACTTCCGCGTGCTGCACCCCGGCGCGGTGTACCCAGTCGCGGCGTACCTGCCGGCTGGTCACCCGCAGCTGCGCGAGGTGGCGGCGGCCGGCAGTCGCGCCGGGACCGGCGCCTGGGGGGCGTGGCTGCGGCGCTGGAGCGGGGCGTGGCTCACCCCCGCCCAACGCGCGGATCTGCGCGGCATGGATAGATGACGGGGTGCGCAGCAGCGGGCAGGAGACGGCGTTGGGCGGGGGCGGTGAAGGGCCCCGTGTTGTGTTTGTTCGTGTGTTTGCATGCGTCGTGTCTTCCCTCTTGCCGCGTGTGGGCGTGTGCCGTGCGGGTCGCCGCCTGCACTCCCCCCCTTCTCTCTCTTCTGCCCCTCCTTTTGCTGGTGCTGTGGCGAGGCTGCGGCGTCTGCACTAGCGAGCGCAAAAACGGGGGAAACAAAAGAAAAGGAACAAAAACAAAACAACAACACGACAAGAAGCCCAATACCACAAGTAGAGGCACATCAACAACAAAAAGAAGAAAGACAGCGAAAAAAAAATCAAAAAAAAACAAGAAAAAAAAACTGGGGAGGGCGAAGGAAGGCCTCCTTCCCTGCCGCACTGCCGCACTGTCTGCCCTTCCGCGTAGTCCCGTGCAGTGGGGTGGCTAAGGGGCGGTGAGACGCACCCACCCGCCCGCCCGCCCGCCCGCGCTGCGGCCCCGTTGACGCCGTTTAGCGGGGAAAGCGGGCAGGCGCGATGTTTGAAGTGACGGTGCTGGCGGTGGCGAAAGTCATCGTCGCCGTTTGCATCGGGGCTGCCACAAGCCATCAGATTCCGAACGCGTCCGTGACGGTCCGCGACTTTACGTTTCTGATTGCCAACGTTTTGCTGCCGTGCCTCACGTTTCACAGTACAGCCTCTGCCGTGAACGTGGAGGTGCTCATCCGCTGCTCCATCCTCTTGCTCTTCGCGCTCATGGCCATTGGCACCGGGCTGCTCTGCGGGTTGGTGGCGTCGAAGCTGATGTTCCGCGTGAGCCGCACCGGCATCCCGCGGGAGCTGCGGCGCTCGCTGCGCTACGTGCTCGCCTACCGCGATGCAGAGGGGGACGAAGCCCACCTTGTGGCGCGACGCGGCCACCGGACGCAGCTCAGGCCGGTGCTGTGCGTCGTAGTGAGTGGGGCGCTGGAGGAGCAGAGGGTGGAGCCGGAGGAGGTGCTGCCGCTGCTTGAGCCCCCCGGCGTCGAGTACGAGGAGCAGCCCTTCTACCACTACGCCGCGCTGATTGCGTGCAGCCTGCAGAACAGTGTCACCCTTCCCCTGTCTCTGTTGCAGGCGCTGGCCGAGTCACTGGCGTGGATTGACCTCGCCGTGGGAACCTCCTACATCTTTCTCTACAGCCTGGTTGTCAGCACGGCCGTCTGGGGCCTGGGACCGATGTTCGTCGATCTTGGAAAGAAGGAGACTGATAAGCGGCGGCAGATGCGTGAGTTGCTGGAGCTGCATAAGAAGCTGCAGCGCTGCCGCGAGGTTGCCACGCAGACGGAGGTGCAGGAGAGGTCCCCGCAGTTGGCCTCCCCGAGTGCGACGACGGTGTTTTCTCTTCCGGGCAGCAACGAGCCCGGGACAGTGCCGCTGCCGGCGGCCGTGCGAAGGAGCGCGGCCCGCGACGAGGATGGAGGGGACGACGCTCCTGCCGAGTTGAACACCGTGGACGCCCGCAGCTCTGGGGAGCAGGCGGACATGCCGCCCGGTCCGGGGCGCTGGCTGCTTGCCGCCACCCCCGCCACCTGCGAGGCTTTCCACTACAACTGGCGGGAGCGCGACTTTGTTCGGGTGATGTACGCCAGCGACTTCCGAGAGGAGATGGAGGCGACGCGGCAAAAAAGCAACGTCCTCGCGAGTTTCTGTCGTAGTTGCAAAAAAGTCGTTATGCGACTCCTGCAGACGCTTGCCTTCACCTCAGTTGTGGCGGGCTTCATCGTCGCGGTGACGCCGCCGCTGCGCTGGCTGCTCTTCGACGGGCCGCTCTCGATGGTGATGGACGCCATCGGCTTCTTGGCGCAGGGCTCGATTCCCTCCTCGCTGCTGTTGCTGGGCGTAAACCTGGTGGGGACCTCGCAAGCGATGACGTCGGCGCCGGAGGTGCGGCTCCGCGAGGCGGAGCAAAACACCGAGTTCCCGCTGGACGACGTCTCCGCAGACCCAAGGTACATGGAAGCCTACAACGAGGCACATGAGGCGATCGAGTTCGACGAGCACGCCTCGTTTGCGCCGGCGAGGCCGCAGCAGCACGAGCCCTTGGCCGTGCCTATGGGGGTCCCCTGCGAGGCACCCGCGGCCGCGTCCGCCGCGGTTGGTGGTAGAGGCAGCTGCAGATGCAGCTGCAGAGACAGCTACAGCGGGGTGATGACCTCCCTGCGACGCGTCTTTGCGCTGCATGGCGTCCGGAAGAGTTTTGTCTTCGGCATCACCCTCATTCGGCTGCTGGTGGTGCCGGCGGTGGGGTTCGCCATGGTGCTGCTGCTGCGCATGGCGGCTCCCTCGCTCTTTGGGGGGCGGCGGGAGCACAATGTCCTGCTGCTCGTCCTCCTCGGCGAGCTGGCCGCGCCGTCGGCGCTCAACGCCACCATCCTGTTCAACGCGCGGCGGTACATGCCGGGGGCGTGGTCGCGCATGCTCTTCGTCCAGTACGTCACCTGCGCCCTGACGTTTATGCTGTGGTGCGTCCTCGCCCTCTGGATCGTCACGTAGCGGGCCCCTGCTGGCAGGGTGTGTGTGGGGAACGAGTGCGGCCGCGCGCGTGCGTGCGCGCGTGCGTGCGTGAGAGGGCGCGGGCGGAGGGCAGCGGGAGGTGGGAAGGCACCGTGGTGAGGTGAACGAAGGACGAGTGAAGGAAGGAGTGAGGGTGAATCAAGAAAGAAAAAAAAAGCAACAACAACAACATAAAAAAACAAGAGAGATGGGGAAAAAGAAGGAAGAAGTGAAAGAATGGTAGAGAAAGAGGGATGTGAAGGATGAAGGGAAGGAAAACAGTCAAGCAACGAAAAAAAAAAGGGAAAAGAGAGAGAGAGAGAGCGAGAGGGAGAGTTAAGAAGCGGAAGCGAGTGTGAGAGTGGCAGGAACAACCACGTGTGTTTGTGTTTGTGTGTGTGAATATATATATATATATATGTCTCTACCGCTCTCTGTGTCTGTGTGTGTGTGTACACGAGCCGGCATGCCCGCTGAAGTCCCGTTTTTTTTTTTTTTTCTTTCTTCTTCCCTCCTCCTTTTTTTTATCCTCCTCCGCCTTGTGGCCCGGAGCCCCCTGCGCTGCCGTGATGGTGTGCGATGCCGCCGCCGCCGCCGCCGCCGCCCATGCGGCGCCCCCTCTCCTCTTTTTTTTTGTTTTCTTCTTCTTCTCATGTCTCTCCCTCCTCCTTTTCATCAGTCCGCCCGGCCGATGCCGCTCCCCTTTTTATTTTTTATTTTTTATTTTTTATTTCAGTTTATTATTTTTTGTTTTGTTTTATTCCTCTGCCTGCCCGCTTCTGTCCTTTTTTTTTTTTTTCTCCCCGCCGCCCGGCC